GTGGGTCTGAGGCCAGAACCTGCAGGGTGGGAGAGAAGGTGCTAGCTGTCTGGGCAGGCAGCACTCATGCTGGGGCCAGGATCCTAAAAAGCCCTTTAAACTCTTTGACAAATGAACCTCATCCACTACAAAGAGGTCACTGTGGGTACTGCTGAGTTGATCCACACAGAGCCCACCAAAGCATAGATACACTGTAGGTTCTCAGGCCATTCTTAGGACTGACTGTGCCCTGGCATAGGTCTTTGAGACAAATGCCCACCTCAGCCCATCATATCTGCTCATGTGGCCTGGCCTGTGGCCCACACCAGGACTTTGCAGGACTCCAACCTTCGGGAGAAGTTCCTGCTTCCTTGACATTGGAGTTCTACCAGACAGCGAGCAAGACAAAGCCAAGGACTTGCTTTACCTTGCTCCCCACTCTGTTTCCAATACCTGGCACATCACGAGGGCCAATAAATCGAGTTTGCTGGACAAAGACCTAAATCTCATATCTCTTTTTCTGTAAACTGCACCCTTGCACCCTGTGTCACAGCAGCCACCACCCAGTGTGCCTGCATTTTCCCTGCTCTCTGCTTTTGCTCACTCAGCAGCTTCCATTCGATGCCCTCCCGCCTCCTGGCCTCCTTCTGAATCCTTAGAAAGCAGAGTCCATGTGGAAGATGAGCCTTGGTCCATGCCACGTGGCTGCCAGCTCTGCTATGCTAGCTGACCTCTGTTCCACTTGCCACCCCTGGCCAAGTCATCATAAAGCAGTGTCAGATGGGCTGGGCCTCAGCAGTGAGATATCTGAGAACTTCTCTCCAGGTCAAAGGACCGCCTGATTTCCAGAGGAGACTCCAACTGTCCCCTTTACTTGAGGACCTCTGACCCTCTCTATTCTAACAAATCCTCTGTTGTGTGTATTTGTGGTGGTGGCTGCCTTTCCCACACAGTGGGGAGGCCTCTGAGGCAGACGCTGAGGGGAGGTTCAGTAAGGAGGTGCTAAATGAAAACTGAATCCTTACATGTATAGGGTTGCCTAGGCTACCTGGCATAGCAAACATTCTCCCATCTCAGAGGCTCAACACAGTAAAAGTACCTTGGAAACCGTGTACACCAAGTCCAGTATGGCTCTTCCTCTTTGGGTGGTCCTCCTGAGAGCTCAGGGCTCTATACTCTTTCTATCTTGCACTGTTGATGTCTTCAATGAAGAGCCTCTGGGGTCATGTCATGTGAAGAGAGAGAGTCTCTTCCCTAAATGTCTCCCCTCCCCTCATCTGCCATCTTGGCACCCTCCAGGCAAATGACCATCTTGTACTCCATCCCAGCCAGGCCAAGGTCATGGCTATCATTCCTGTCTCCAACCTTTGCTCAGACTGTTGTCCCTCTACCTGGGTGCCCTCTACCTGACCAGCTCAGTGGCTGTCTCCCAGGCAAGCTGCCTTGTACGGCAGGACGCAGATCTGGACAGCCCAGCCTTGTGTCTGTGGACTCATCCCATTCTTTCCTGGTGGCAGCCAATCTCCATGAAGCCCCCAGTGGTCCTGCCTCCTGCTCTTCACTCTCTCAGACAGAGTGTGGACTGGACTGAGTGACTCATACCTAACCAAGAAACTGAGGCAGAACTGAAAGTGTGTGACTCAGAGACTAGGTCATCCAAGGCAGGTGGCCTCTCTTTCTGCCTACTTGCCCTGGTAGCAGCCATGTCATTGGCAGCACATGGAGAGGCATTGCAAGGAACAGAGCCTGCTGCCATCAGCTACGTGAGGGACCCTCCCATGCTGCTCACGCCTTCAGAGATAAAGCCTCACCCAGCAACCTGGCTGCCACTCCAGGGAACACAGAGCCAGAGCCACCAGCTAAGTCACACCTAGAGTCCCCACCTTCAGGAACTGTTATAAAATAAGTGTTAGCTGTCTAAAGCAGCTAAGTTTTGGGGTGATTTGTTATATACAGCAATAGCTAATGAATTTAATGGCCTCCAAAGGTGAGGCCCAGGTCCTCCTGCCTCATCCCTGTTCCACACCCAGCCTGTGCTGGATCCTTGTGTGAGAATTGATGCATTCGTCAATTCTGTTCACTGAGAATGCCAAGGTGCACCATGTCCTGTATGGGGAAGGCACAGGGGTGGGGCTGAATGAAACAAGATATGGTCTCAGCTCTCAGGGGGAGAGAAGTGACACTTTCTCCCCCAAAGCCAGCCCCAAAGAGGGAACTAACCCTGATTCAGGGCAGAGGACCGAGTTTGAGGGTAGGTAGGATAGGAAGAAATTTGACCCAAGAGTTGAGTTTTGGGGGTGAGTGACATTGACCAGGTCAAGGAGGTAGTTCTGAGGAGAGGGAAGAGTGAGTCCGAGACCAAGCAAGTACAAGAGCAGAGCACCAGAGAGCCATGAAGGATGCAGGGGTGAGGGGCAGCAGAGGGAGGACTGGAGGTAGGTGCAGCTGGCCAGGCCTGGGGGCAGAAGATAAGGAGCCTTGAATGCCATGCTAAGGAGGGAGGGTAGGCGTTATCCCCAGGCACTGGAGAACTCTTTAGGGAGTTTGGTTTTATTTAAGAGTGAGGACAGGCCAGGCACCACTGGCTCACACGTGTAATCCCAGCTTCTCAGGAGGCAGAGATCAGGCAGATTGCAGTTTGAAGTCAGCCCAGGCAAATAGTCCACGAGACCCTATCTCAAAAAAACAAAAAAACCCTTCACAAAAAATAGGGGTGGGAGTGGCTAAGGTGTAGACCCTGAATTCAAACCCTGGTACTCGGGAAAAAAAAAAAAAAGAGAAAGAAAAAGAGAGAGAGAGAGGACACAGGTACTGTTTGGGGTGTATAGTATCCATCAGTGTGTGTGTGTGTGTGTGTGTGTGTCTGTGCATGTGCTTTCTGCCACAGGCTTTGGTTTAAATTTTTGGTAGATTGTTTGCAAAGGTGGCCTCCAGAACCCTCCAATCGTGCATCCCTTTTTGTCATATGACATTGCTGCTTCTTCCATCCAAAGGTGGAGTCTCTTCCTTACCCCACCTCATGACTCGCTTTGACCAGCTGATGTGACACTGTGCAAGCTGTGCAGTGCAGGACTCCAGTCCTCATGGCCTCAGCTCTCATTCTTTTGGAATCTAGCCACCATCAAATGTTAAAAGGCCAGTCAGGATATTGCCAGGTCCAGTGTCCCCCATATGTGAAGAAAGACCCTGTTTTTCCAGCTCCATTAGACCCAGTGTCCAAACACAACTGCACAGGAGCACGGCAAGACTGAGAAGAGGCCCCCAGCAACACACAGAGTCAGGAGAAATAAGGAATCCTCATTGCCTTCAGGCAGCCAGTTTGGAAGTGGCTCAATGCAGGGGCAGATACTGCAATGAGCCACTCTACGTGTCCTTTGAAACCTCACCCTTCCTTCAATGTGCTGCCCAGGGTACTTCCTCCAAGTCTCCCCCTGGGGTGGAGTTCTCATTCTTTTCTCTGACTCCACTACTCTTTCTTCCTGGTTCTCGTGTATGTACTAAACAGTGCATTACCAGGGCTCTGCATGGGACACTGGGCACACATGTCACCAAATCCTAATTTACATATACTGTGCAGCATTCCATGAAGGACATGGTATGGCTCAGTGACTCAGGAACTGCTCACAACACTGGAGGGGGACATTGTGATCCTTATCTGTCAGATGACAAGATCCAGGTTTGGAGACACTGAAAATAGGTGGAGCCAGAATTTGGACCCAAATTTATACTTCTTCAAGTGCTTTTATGTTGCAGGTGTTGGCATGAACTGATCCCAGAGGGGAAGGGTCTGCTTCCTGCAGAGGTATGGGGGTGTGTGAAATAAAGCACCAGTTCCTCCCTGCCATGCTACTGATACATGTCCCCTATGCAGAAATGCAGGATTCTTCTGGTCAGTATAATCCCCATCCATAGACACATAAGATGAGACAGACTTTGCACCTCACTTTCTCTGTGCTGGTCAGCCCACAGACGTATCCTCCTTCTTTCCCAAACAGAATAGAGAATAGAGCAGAGTTGGCAAACTTAGGGTGACAGTTCAGGAAGGAAGAGACCAACATGGTCTTCTCTGGCCCAGTCCTGACCCAGCTTCTGGGAAGGTGAATCAGGGCTATGGGGCCAAGGCTGGGGCTAAGAGCCAAGGCTTCGATCATTCCCCTTGTTGGGGGGAAAGGAAGGAAGAGAAGAATAGAATCCTTTCATTTATTGAAGTAACATTTATGGAGCACTCCTTTTGTGCCAAGGTTGGGGCTGAAATTACAAGGGTTGTGTGAGAGGCCTTCTCACAGAGCTCTCAGCCTATGTGAGATCAGAACTAAGATTCCAAGATTATTTTAGTCAGTCAGGGAAACTGAGGCTCACAGGGAGTGAGAAGAGGTCTGAGTAATCATGCAGCCAGTCAGTGACAGGGCACAGCTCTTCTTACCCACCTGCCGGGTCCTCTGGCTGCCACTCCATGGCTCAGAGGCCCTAGGACTTAGGGCAAACACAGGGCTTATTGACCACCCTTCCCTTTAGCTTGGGGAGGAAGGACACCAGGGTGGGGGCAAAGGGCATATAGGGGAAAGGACTAGAGTAGTGGCTTCTTTTGTGCTGTCACTTAAGGTTAGAGGAAGAAGAACCTTTTTGTTCTCTTTCTCCTACATTTCCTTTTGTTATATTTGAGTGACATTACAACAGAGAACAGAAACCTCGGAAATCATTGTCTTCCAGTTCCTTTCTCCTGTTCCATAGATGAGCCGACAGAGACCACGAAGGGGGAGACCTGCATAGCTTTCTCTGCAGAAGTGCATGTGACAGACATCAGAGTCTGACTTCTCTCCACCACGCTGGTTGCAGTTGGATTTGCCAGAGTCTGGGGAGGCTCTGGAGATGTGTTCATCAACACCTCTAGGAGGCCTCCTCTTACCACAACACCTCCTGGGAGCTCCTGAATACTGGAGGTGCTCAGCAGAACTCCAGGTGTTGGTCAATGGGGATGTTGAACTCGAGCTTGTGGGCCTCGAAGAGGTTGTACAGCTCCTTCATATAGCGCTGGTGCATCTGGTCCACCTCCTCCTCTGAGGCTGCAGTATTTTCTGCACCTCAATGGGCTTCCCCACTGCAAGGCACAGAGGAGGAACCAGTGGGGTCACAGGTGACCTCTTCCATGGTCCTCCCCTAGGAAAGTGCTGTCACTCTCATCCCTTCCTACTTCTCCCCTCCTCTTTTTTTTTTTTTTTTTTGCAATAGTGGGGATTGAACCCAGGACTTCAAGCATACTAGGCAAGCACTGTACCACTCAAGCCACATCCCCAGAACTCAGGTAGTGGATTCTAAAGATTCTGATATATCAACAGGAAGATTTCACTGTCCAGACAATGTGCTTGTCAAAACCTGTCACATTCCTATTTGACAGGTGGGGCAATGACGCTCAGAGAAGTTAAGTAACTGGGTCAAGGTCAAGGTCACCTTGCCAGGAAGAAGTAGCACCGAGTTTTAAACCCTAGGGGGTGTGCTCTTCTCCTCTGGGCTATTTGATTCTGGGAGTCTAAGTTCCCAAGATTTGAAGTGCCTTTATTTCTAGGATGGGGGATGGTGGTTCATAGCCCACGCAGCTCATCTTGCCCCACAGCCCTGCAAGCAGACCTCCATATGGTGCCCCCCTCCATAGGGAAAAATCAGGAAGGCCCTAGCAAACCTCCTTCCTCTGGTTCCACCTGGCTGGGAAGGCAGCTCCCCTGCCCTGTCTTCTTGGATAAGCTCTGGAGATGGCAGCAGTGTTCAAATTCATGGCTATATTGTCACATGACCCAGCAAGGTCATGATGTAGGGTTTTACCAGTTCGGTGCTCAACTAACACATAAATGGATGGATGGAGATGAGATGAATGGACTTCTCTCTACAAATGTCAGAGGATGCTGGTGAGAACACAAGAAGAAAAAGGCTCTCTGCCTGTGCATTAAAGCTCGTATCCCTTTGTTACAGGACAGCCCCTGGGTTCTAATTCAGAGCTTATTAATTGCTACTTTGTACCCAATTTTAGCATACTTGGACTGCCCTTCTCCAAATTAGCCTCATTAGTTCCTCTGAGTCAGAAAACCCTCCTCTTTCTCTACCATAACCAAAAGTCAGATCCCGATTCAAACCTCGACTTTGTTTCCCAAAGGCAGGGTAAACTTTTGGAAGTTACTTAACTTCTTTGAGCCTCAGTTTACCATTAATGAAACAAGGATAGTAGTCCTTGCCTCAGAGGTTGCCAGGATAAACTGAGCTGCTGCATGGAAGGCAGCCAATATGGTGTCTGGCACATGGCAGGACCCCTGTCCTCTCAAGAACCAGTACCGAGCAGTCAGCTTTATTAACCTTTGTGTCTCTGTTACAGCTCCCATCCCAGACTGCTTTCTGGTAGGTTTATCTGCTTCTGCTTGTGTGTGTATACTCCAGGCTAGAATGTGAGTCCCATGAGGGCAGGGATATGTCTGGCCCAAGTCCAAGTCCCCTTGCAGCACACAGCCCAGGCCTCTGTCCCTGTAGCCTACCCTCCCAGCCTGGATCTTGTTGGCTCACCGACAGTGGTGATGGGCTGGCGGAAGGGCATGAGACCAAAGCTGTACTGGAAGATGCCACGGCCGTGGAAGAGTGGGAGGGAGATGCCCATGATCTTCTGCAGCCGATTCTGCACACGGCGCAGCCAGGATCCAGAGGCATTCTTAACCTGGTTAAATAGGTTGTTCTCCCCAAAGGAGAAAATCGGCACCAGAGCTGCCCTGGAGAGACACAGGAGAGGATGTGTGGGAGGCTCCTGACTGACAAGGCACAAGCTGAAATGTCACCTGAGTGACCCTGCAGGAACTCAGCAGCCAGGAACACAGAGCCCCAGGCTAGAGGTAAGAGGCCTGAATTACCTCTCAGATCTGCCATGGTCCCCTCTCTGGCCCTGGGTAGTCCCTCTTAGGACTGCAACTTCTCACATGCACCATGACAGACAAGAGTGCTCCAGAGAGGCCTTCCCAGATTGAAAACACCTGCACTTTTCTCCTAGAAAAATCCCCCTCCAGCTGGCTCACATTCCACAAAGATGCTTCACCCCACAGTTGGAGAATAACTCTGCAATACACCTCCAACCCCATTCTCCCAGATCCCATAAGGGTTCAGGTCTCGCTGGCTTTGGGGACTAAGTCTACTCCTGCCTAGTTCCATAGATCCCCAAGTCTCCCTTGTGGAAACATTTCTAGAAATTTGGATAGGAGATACCAAAAAATGATCTTCATTGTGAGTGCACTGAGAATCTCACTGCCAAAACAGAGTCTGGGTTAGTCTATTTTTTTTAATTGCAGCACTGGGGTTTGAACTCAGATCCTCACACTTGTTAAGCAGGCACTCTTACCACTTGAGCCACTCCACCAGCCCTTTCTTGTGAAGGGCTTTGAGATAGGGTCTCGAGAACTATTTGCCCAGGGCTGGCTTCAAGTCTCGATCCTCCTGATCTCTGCATCCTGAGTAGCTAGGATTCTGTAGCATGAGCTACCAATGCCCAGCTCTGGATTAGTCTTTGATGTCTCTCCACCAAAATACAATCATTGCCAACCTCCGACTGAACCCAGAAAGCTCTCTCTCCCCAGATGCTCCATACCCGTGGATCAGGGCAAGCCTGATGAAGCCCTTTCGCTTCTTCAGTAGCAGGGTATAGGCTCCAGGCCTGGCATCCAGTGCCTCCTGGGACCCCCCAACGATGATGGCCAGCAAGTTCCCGCTGCCCTTCCTGCTCAGGATGTAATCAGCACTGGTCTTGTCTGATGTAACCAGCCCTGGGAAGAGAACAAGGTGGGTCAGATATAGGGTGATGGGGCAGGATGATGAGGGTGGATATGACCCAAGAAACAGACCAACAGCAGTGCCTGCAGAGGTCTGGGGCCTCCCATTGCACCCCAGTCCAACTGGGAGTCTCTTGGGTCCCCTCCCTGTTCCATCCCCTCACTGGGATCGTGCTCAGCATAGTGCTGCAGGAAGTTCTTCTTTGGGTCTAGCCTTCTACTGCACATGCTCTGACGAAGTGCAGAAGTGTCGGCAGCCCTCCCTAAAGTCCCCTCACCCTTATGGCCATCCTCATCTTCCTGAGCTGCCTGAGGTGGAGTGGGGAGACTCACCTCCAGACATGATGTAATCCCGGAAGAAGGGCACGTGGAACCACATGGTTAGCATCATCAGATGGGGGCGGATGGCCGGGAAGAGTGAAGAGAAGCCTGTGCTTTCAGTGCACAGGTTGAGGAAGGCTCCTGCCGCCAGGACCCCATGGGGGTGGAAGCCTGCAATGTAGTTCCGGGAAGGGTCCAGCTCGGCAGTCTTGACCAACTGTAGGAACAGCAACCTGGTGAACTAGAGCCAGCCTGTGTGCCACTCCTGACTGCCACTCAGTGTCACCTTGGGCAAAGCCTCAGGTTCTTACCCCATAAGTCTGACCACCCTGGGTTCTTATGAAGCTAAGAGATGTGGTGTTTGACAGCTCCTGGTGACACCATGGTGCTGGCTGAGTCATAGACTTGATGCTTGCTTTGGACAAATTGCTTCCCTCTCTGGCTACTCTTCTATAAAATGGGAACACGACCCTGTCCTGCTACTTCCCAGGGCTGCAGAGAAACTCAGGTGTAAGGGTTCCTGGAATGACTACCTGACAGAATGTGAAGTGAAGAAACACCCACATGGGGGCGCACCATGTTGGAAGAGCTGCATTGTAACAGTATTAGAAACTGGCCCTTCTGCATTTGGAGTGAGCATTCACAAGCTGTATGGGGAGAGGAATCTCTTGGGTTGAAAGAGCATGCAGACCCACAGGCTGACTGTGGTTCTGTTTACAATCCCGGATCATGCAAGTGTCTTCTTCATTGCCCTTTGTTCACTCTTTCCCTGGCCAGCACAGCAACTTGCCTCCACCAGGCAAGCCTGAGTCATACAGGGTGTAGCAGTGTCCACAAGGCATTGAAGTTGGAAAGGGAAAGAGAGCTGATTGTCATTAGCTGCTTCTAGGTGAACTGGGGCAAAGACACCCCTCTGTCTTTGCCCCAGTTCACCTAGAACTGGGTGTGTTGAACTGAGCAAAGGCTGCTCTGCCCTGGCTGCTTGCAGAGCTAAGTCTGCAAAGATCTTTGCTGGAGGCCATGTCTGTAAACAGGGACCGATCCCTTCTCACTCCACCAGGAACAGTGTGGCTCTGCCTCCTCATTCCCCTGCACAGCCATTACAGTGGGGAGGAGCCCAAGCCCCTTAGCCCACCTCCTAATCCCTGGACAGGTGGCTCCCTGGTAGGACTTTGTCTTTGCAACTTGCAACCCCCTACAACGGGGGGGGGGGGGGGGGCAGCCCTTCTTCCTGTCATCAAGTTGAAACTTTTAGCTGGAAACATCCTGGGGATTCTTGTTGCTGCTTTTGGGGCCACAGATGCCTAGCTTCCCATCCTCAGAGCAGCCTGGAGGCTACAATGGAGTCCTGAGCCTGTCTGCCCATCCAGGCTTCGTAGCTCCATGTTCTGTCCATGACCTGGACTTGGCCTCTGCACATCCCTCCCCCCATCCACCAATATGCCCTCCAGGTTACACACTAGCCTTTTGCAAAAGGGCTGCAGGAATCACAGGTCAAGGGACTGTGGCCTTCCCAGATAAGGCTGAATCCATTCTCCTAGTGCCGTAGGGGATTTAAGGGACATGGAATCAATGACAGAGTGGAGACTTGTGCTATTCCTCCTGGAAAGGAACTTGCTCAGGACCCCACCTGGTGGTGTTTAAAAACATACTTTGCTCCATGCACTGAAACACTTGCTTATACATTTTCATTCTGTGCTCTTGAGAGGGAATTTTGTACCTCCATAAAAGCAATTTGACAATATCTACCAAAGCAAAAAAAAGACAATTCCAACTGACCTTTTAGCCAGTAACGCCACTGCTGAGGAGTGGAGCCTACAGAATGGCTTGCCCTCAGGAAAAATGATATCTGACCAATGTCATGGAGCATGGTTTTCTGGTAATATAAAAACTGGGTATCCACTCAAATGTCCATCAATGGGCCTGAGTAGCCAGGAAACACACGATGACCTCTACACACATGGAGTATGAAGCAGCTCCTTCCTGTCCTGGCAGGGGATGAGGGTCCTGACAGCATGTTATGTGAAAAGCAGTGAGGTGGGGTGACGTGTGCAGAATGTGGCTGCTGGGCAAAAAAGGGAAGATACAGTGGCATGTACATGGTGACACCAAACCCCGGTGGCCATGGATGCCACTGATGATAGGAACTGCGGAGAGGATGTGAAGTGACATGGGAAGTTTTTATACCTTTCCTTTTGTCTCTTTTTGAATTTTGTTCTTTTTTTTTTTTTTTGGCGGCACTGGGGTTCGAACTCAGGGCCTTATGCTTGCTAGGCAGACACTCTACCACTTCAGCCACTCCACCAGCCCCCCTTTTTGAATTTTGAACCAGAGGGCTAAGGCCTTGGGTTCATTCTCCAACCCTGCAAGGAAAAAATAATTCTCGTCTATGTTTTGGCCAAGAATGTATTACTACTTTAAGTGAATGAATACATGAACGTTCCCTTAATAAAGAAGCATTTGTGTATAGAGGAATATCCTGGTGAGCATGTCTAGGCAAGTGGGCCAGTTCTTGCTTGTGCATCTCCAGGTGTGTGTCTAAGTGTGTGCACTGTGAAGCCATCATGGTTCCATTGATGCCCAGTTTGTGCCTTCTCTGACTTGGTCTCTACCAGTACCTGCCTGTATTAACTAGTCTCTTTTACTTGTCCCTGTGCCCAAGTCTACCAACACTGTGAGGATTAGAGGCCATGTGTCCAATGCATCTGTGTCCCCAGTGCAGGCTTAGGACAGAGCAGATGCCCTGGAGTGGAAGGAAGGAGAACAGGAAGGAACCCAGTGCATGAGGCTGATGGAGCCTTGTCAGAAGGAAGGCCTCCTGACCCCAATCCTGTCCTGATGTGTCACCTGGGTTCCACTAGCAGGAGAAGGAACCCTGAGCTGGGAGTTGAGGTCATTGCAGGTCTTTACCAGGCCCCTGCCCCTTTGTGCTTTAGTTGTCCCTCTGTTCCATAGAACAGCAACAGCTTATCTTGGCAAGCTTGCTACAGGGTTCCGGTGAGTAAAGGTGGAGTGCTAGTGAATAGCCGTGGTCTATGTCTTGCTCCCTCAGTTCTACTGATGGTGGGGAGTATAACTAAGCAAGGTGGTGGTGTCTGAGGAAACCCTGGCTGGGCTGGATGCCCACCCTGGTGCTAGGTGTGGCACCGGACAGCCAGGTTGCTAGGCACTGGGGATTGCCCTTTTTTTATTGATATCATTTATATGCCATAAAATTCACCCTTAAGGTGTACAATTCTGTGCACTTTGAAAAGGTTGTATAATCATTACCACTAATTCCAGAGCATTTTCGACTGTCCAGAAAGAAACCCACATCCCTTATGAGTCATTTCCCACCCCTGGCAGCCACTAATGCACTCTGTCTCTATGAGCTGTCTCTATGGGCTTGCCTGTTCTGGAAGCCTCTTAAATGACATTATGCAATATGTGGTCTTTGTGACTGGCTTCTTTCACTTAGCGTAAGTCAAGGTGTCTCCATGTGGTAGCAAATATCAGTGCTTTGTTCCATTTTATGACTGAATAATATTCCTCTGTATGGGTAGACCACATTTTGTTTTTTCCATTCATCGTTGATCGTTTGGGTCATTTTCACCTCTTGGTTCTTACAAATAATGTGGCATGAGCACTTGTGTCCAGTTTGTGTGAACATTTGGGCTTTTATTTTTAAGCTCAAATTGATTTATATATTCACTGCAGGATATTTCAAACAGTGCAGTAAGGTATTAGTAAAAAAAGCATTGAAGTAGAAACAGATTTTGCATATATGAAGAAGCACTTTATAAAACAGATCAGTCGCTTTTTAAAAAGAGAACTTAGTTGTAGTATCGTTAACTTACATGGTGCTGAAAATGAAATCTTCCAACAATTTTTAAATATAGAAAAACTTTATATAGCTGCAAGCAAACATTTTCAACGAAACAAAAGAAGACAGATTCCTCCAGGAAAACCTATATGCTTGTGTGAGACAAATCAGCAAATATACCCCTTTCTGGTGTACTTTTGCCAAAATCTTAAAATAATGTCCTTGTTCTTTTGTTAAAACGTTAAGCTTCTGTCAAAAATGAACATCTCGGACTGGAGGTGTGGCTCGAGCACCTGCTTTGCCATGCACAACCCTGAGTTCAAATCCCCCTTGCCCCACAAAAAAATGAGGATATTTTAGGATTACAGGATTAAAGGACAAGATGATATTTACAAGTAAAGAAAGTACTTTACCCAGCAACTAAGAGAAAGGATGAACAAATGGGACTTCAAAAATTAAAAAGCTTCTGTACAACAAAAGAAATGGTCTCTAAACTGAAGAGACCATCCACAGAGTGGGAGAAAATATTTGCCATCTATACATCAGACAAGGAACTGACAACCAGAATATACAGGGAACTCAAGAAACTAAACTCTCCTAAAATCAATGAACCAATTAAGAAATGGGCAACTGAACTAAACAGAACTTTCTCAAAAGAAGAAATTCAAATGGCCAAAAAACATATTAAAAAATGCTCACCATCTCTAGCCATAAAGGAAATGCAAATCCAAACCACACTAAGATTCCACTTCACTCCTGTTAGAAACACCACCACCAACAGGTGTTGGCGAGGATGTGGGGAGAAAGGAACCCTTGTACACTGCTGGTGGGAATGTAAGCTGGTGTAACCACTCTGCAAAAAAATTTGGAGGCTTCTTAAAAATCTAAACATAGACCTGCCATAGGATTCAGCAATCACTCCTGGGGATATATCCAAAGGAATGCAACACAGGTTACTCCAGAGGCACCTGCACACCCATGTTTATTGCAGCACTATTCACAATAGCCAAGTATGGAAACAACCAAGATGCCCCATTACTGACGAATGGATTAAGAAAATGTGGTATTTATACACAATGGAATTTTACTCGGCCATGAAGAAGAATGAAATCTTATCATTTGCAAGTAATTGGATGGAACTGGAGAACATCATTCTGAGCAAGGTTAGTCAGGCTCAGAAGACCAAAAATCATATGCTCTTCCTTGTGTGTGGACTTTAGATCTAGGGCAAATACAGCAATGTGGTTGGACTTAGATCACATGACAAGGGGAGAGCACATACAGGAGATATAGGAATAGGCAGAAAACCCAAAACATGAAAGCGTTTGATGTCCCCACTCCAGAGGAACTAATACAGAAACCTTAAAGTGACAGAGGTTAACACAAGAAGGGGATCAGGAACCAGTGTAAAGATC